AGGCAATGCATACATGGCAGTGAGGATAGCATCATAGTCAAGAGGATAGATATCTACCCGCAGCCTAACCAGTTCCACCCAGTCATGGAGCTCAGCCGCGTCGCCAAACTCCGTACGCCAAGTGTCGCTCAGACGGGCGAAGCAGCGGGACTGTGTGACCACACGTCCCGCAAGGCTGACCAGTCCGGACACCCGAGCAAATAACGTACGGGCAGCGAGCACTAGTCAGCGACCCTCTACCCTGAGCGTACCATTCACGAAACTATTGGGGGGTGAGGGACTCACGCGGGTGACGCTGCAGCTGCACCTGGCCACTAGAAGCAGCTGTGGAACTACTCACTCCAGGACGACTCCTAGTACGGCCACGCCGACAACTCCAACTAGCGTACCACTCACGAAGCTGTTGGGGGGTGAGGGACTCATGCGGGCGATGCTGGAGCTGCATCTGGCCACGCCAGGAGCAGCAGTAGCAGTAGAAAGAGGAGTAGCAGCAAGAGGAGCAGTAACTGCAGTACGGGCAGGGCAGTGCTCTCCAGTGGCGAGAAGGGCAGGCGTACGACGGCGGCAACGGCGAGGCCGCTACCACTTTAGGTTGAGAGCTCGGCGGCAGCTGCAGGGATGGTGTTTTAGGGGTGGCTACTGCAATAGCGGCTGCTCCAGGTGCGGCTCGTCTGCTGGGCGACTCGGTGGCTCGGCTGCTGAGCGGCTCGGATGCTCGTTAGGGGCGGCGACGGGGCCGGGTAGGGGCGGCGACGGGGCCGCTAGGGGCGGCGACTGGGCCGCGTACGGAGGGGAGCGGCGACGGGGCCGCTAGGGGCGGCGACGGGGCCGCGTAGGGGCGGCGACGAGGCCGCGTAGAGGGGGAGGAGGCGACAGGGCTGCTAGGGGCGGCGACGGGGCCGCTAGGGGCGGCGACGAGGCCGCTAGGGGCGGCTACGGGGCCGCGTAGGGGCGGCGACGGGGCCACTAGGGGCGGCGACGGGGCCGCGTAGGGGCGGCGACGAGGCCACGTAGGGGCGGCGACGGGGCCGCTAGGGGCCTGGAAGGGCGGCGACGAGGCCGCTAGGGGCGGCGACGGGGCCGCTAAGGGTGGTGCGAGGGGCCGTGAGAGGGGCCTCTAAGAGAGCTCGACAGAAGGGCGGCCCACAAGGCGTGCCTCGGGCAGGAGCAACTGGCGCTCAGGTCAGAAAAAAAAAAATTCAGTGGTGGGCCCAAGGAAGCGTTCCCACTAGGGAACCTGCTCTATACCATGTGAAGAAATGAGGAATGAATGAACTAGCACAAGGTTGGGTACAAGTAGGAAACCCTAGGAAACTGTACCCCATAGTGTCTACCCCACTATAGCCTAGACAAGCTATATGATATGAGTTTGACATCAGGCCTTTCCAAAAGGACGGCCTGGCATCTGCGAGGAGATGGGCTGGTATGTGGTGAGAAATCGGTGTTGCTTATACACTTGTATTTGTTTGTGACCTTCTGGCTTTCGTAATACCCACCACTTATTTTGATTGCCTGGCGTTTGCCTTGTGATTGCTTCATCTAGTCCAAGCATCTTTAGAAATATCTTACATTGAAACGAATCATTATCTGCTGATTTCTTGCCATTCACATCAGTGCTGGTATCGCCTCCTTCTGCTGCCCCTTTGTTGCAGCATCGCCTCCATAGCAGCCAGGTCAGCAACAGCAGCACGAGGACAGACACAACGCCAGCAACAGCAATGCCGGCAATTTTTCCGGTGGATAAACCGCCTCCTGACTGGGAGGGAGCAGCTTTGGGTGCACTTGAAGAGGGAGTTGGCACTGGAGGTGGGGAGGGCACAAAATCAGATAAATAAGGCGGAGATAAAAATGGGAGAAGGAATTCAGATATGGGGATGCTGATGGAGTTGCTGTAAGGGGCTGTGGCATAAGGTACGGCTGTCGGGAGAGGGGACGTGAAGAAAGAGATTGAAAGACTGAAACAGATTTTCTTTCATAAGCATGAGTGGACATGTACAACAGAAGCACAACACTGAGTAGATGAGCTGTGTATGGATTGCATATTATGAGGAGTAGCTGATCTTTGGCACACTTGTTATGTGGGTGGCAATGCGGTGCCTGTACTCTTACCACTATGTTGAGCAAAGTTAAAGGAGAATGCAACCACCTGCATAAGGAGATAGCAGTTCACCTGGTGGTGGCTTGTCACACGTGGAGCAGAAAGAGCCACACTGCCTACAGAAGTCACTAGAAGCGTTCTGTGGGACCATGCAGTTGCTGTAGTCAGGAGGGCATGTGATTGCCGTCCCAGATATGTCCCTGCATGTGCACATGGTGTGCTCTCAAGCCATGAATCAGAAACTGATTTCAGCTATGAGTGAAACGTTCTGAGGTATCTATTGGCGAAATATGGTATGACAATCAAATGCCAAGATGTACTCTTCCCCACATTCACCCACGTGTCACCAGTTTCCATGCCAACTACTGTACTAGACAACTGATCAACTGTGCGCAACTGTATCTGGGTGGCTCGGCTGCCACACTGTTTCGAAATCTGCAAGGCTACTATTTCGCGCCCAAAATTTGGAACACAGGCCAGCAAGGCAGACGGAAACGGAGTAGCATTCCGTCAGGTCTTTTGAGTCCCTTCGTCTCAATTTATGTTGGCTCCTTCGGAAATTAGGGTTTGCGACAAGTCACAATGTAAAACTCCGTGATAAGTTACCTCGTAGGTTCCCGCTAGCAATCTTAAATCAGCATAGGCGCCATGTGTTTTTCCTGAATATTTGGCTATACCATATCCAGCCGTAGGAGCATCACCTTCTGACGGATAATGTTTTATTGGCTAGCAATCCAGGATATGCGTTCTGGATCTTTTGATATGTGCACCCTTCATTTATCTTCTCCGATCCTTGCGGTCGATAGTATGTTGGCATAATTCTGATCCGCTTATCATATCATCGTAGGCGACTTGCATAATCTGATTGTCCCCTAGGACTTTCCTTCCGCATGATTACTCGCGCCTGTTACGGACTCCTTGCATTGGTCTTTACAGAACGCTAAGCTTCAGTCACCTCGCACATGTGTTTCATCCACATTATTTAAGCGCTGCTTTTGAATATAATCCACCCTTTTCTTATATATCTTTCACGTGTCTCTAATCTTCTTTTTCCAGACCTTCATCATTCGCAAACTATTGTGTAGACAGAGACCATGTGTGCACAATGTTCAGAAGTTCCCTTTCAAGGTGATCTCACTGATGCAATGTATGGGATATGTCCTGTATTGCAACACGTTCCTTGTTTGGGTTGCATCAAACTACTTACATACGATTCCATTACCTCTGCGATTATGTGTTCTTTAAACAGGGCATTTCTTGGACAACAGACGGAGGAGATCCACATTTACCAAGGGAAAATATATTCATCCGTAAGCGCTTCTAGAGTCGAGATAGAGAAATATGGCGATAAGTTCAACTTCCAGCCGTGGTATAAGGACAAAAGGCCAGAACGCCTTGACGCGCGTTGCCTTTCTATGAAAGGAAAAGACTGGCCCAAGAATGAGGCCAAAGCACCAGAGGGGTTTTGTCCGTTTTGGATTGTAGCTATCGGGCCTTAATTGCAGCTTTAGTGTGAGATCTATGACGCTGCAGCATGCACACACGTGTGTGCCACGCCCTGGTCGTATTAAGAGGGGACAGGTTAATCAAGTGGTGTATGAAGTACATCCTCATACAACCATTACTCCTAGTGGACTACGACATATGGTGCGGGAAAAGTTAGGCGTCGACTGCTGCAATGCTACGTGTGGCCGGTCAATAGATGATGTCACTCGAGAGGATCCTCTAGGTGGAGAGTCAGGTTTCAAGCATTGGTAGCATCCTAGATGTTTTCAAGTGACATAACCCATCAAGCGTTGTGTCACTGATGCTGAATGAGAATAGGTTCCATCGTGCTGCAGTGATTTACCCTGGAGTCCATGAGATAGTTAAAAATTGCTTTCCGATCGTATTTGTAGATGGATGTTACAACAAAGGTGAATGGCGAGGCCATACTTTGAATGCATGCATGATTGACTGCGAGCATAAGCTGGTGAGGTTAGGGAGTACGTGGGTAGAAGGTGAGAGTGCGGATTCGTGTGAGTATTTTCTGAGCTAGCTGAAGGTAGCTGCCCCTGAGATCAACACTCCGAGGTTTACATTGATGCATGATCGTGGGAAAGCATGGAAAGCGGCGCTGCCAGAGTGCTGCCAGGGGCGCGCGAGGCATTTTGTATCACACATTTGGTGAGGAATTATAATTCAAAGTTTGATTCTGACTGTGATGGCAACATCGAGCTCACGGCTGCAGCATTGACCAGAGATGTGCTGCGGGGCTACATGGACAAAATTGAGGAAGAGTGCCCAGGGGGGAAGCAATACTTGGAGAGGGATGGATTAGCCACACATTGGGCTACCTTTCTGTTTAATGCATCACGTTATGGGTGCTATACTTCAAACCCGGTGGAGTCGCATCATGCATCTATGCACAAGTGGAGGAGGGACAATCCAGCACAAGTTTTGCTTGCATTCATCACACAGCAACCAAATCCAATGCAAGAGGGTCGTGAGCTGTATGGGAATCCCGGGGTAGCTGATCTCCCCCCCAAAACAGCAGGTATCATTCGTGCTAATTGTCAAATGGGAACTCAGTACAAAGTGGAGAAGACTGGCAGAAGTTCATACCATCTGAGCCGTGACACTGGAGCCAAGGAGGAGCGTGTGGTGGTGTTGGAGGCTGCGAAGCTAGAGATGGCGTAGTGCACGTGTAATTATTCGAGGTGAGTTTTGTGTTTAGGCTAATCCTTGAAATACCTGTGGGAAACATTCTGCACCTGGTGTTAGGATTGTCAGTACATGCATAACCTTTATCTTCCTTCGGGCTTTCTCCTGATGTTTGTCCTTTGATGGAACTTGACATCCGTTTGACACCCATTTGATTTCCCCATATAATTGCAGAGAGTGCAGGCTGCCATGTATGCACATGTTTGCGGTACTGGTCCACAACATCAGGCCGGCACGTGGCAACGAGTTTGCGGACGTCCAACATGTGGTTCAAGCCATGATCCACAGGTGTTAAACTTCGGACGCATTGAAGGAGCTCTACAACATGCAGATTGGCTCTCTTGACTGCACTGAGGTCGTTCCAAATACGACAACAGAGGCACCAATATACCCAAAGAAGTCGGGGAGGCCACGCAACACTCGGTTGAGGTCCCATGGTGAGATTGATAGCAGGAAATTGCGTAGATGTGGGAAGTGTGGCGGGAAAGGGCACAATAGAAAGACTTGTGATTTGCGCAAACAATTGAGAGACGCATGGGAGGCACTTCACACTCCGGAAGGGCACATGAGTGTGCAAACAGCGACGCAAGCAGAGGCTCAAGTGAATGTGGCGATGTGTAGTGCATGCAATATAGGGCACCACAGGGATGTACTTTGCGAGCCTAGGAGGCAACCTCGTGAACATGAACAACCACAGAATGGGGTGAGGGTAGCGGACGTTAGCGCGACTCACGCAGCAGGTGTAATCAGCAAATATATTCTAACACACCCCCATAGCCAAAGTGGGGTGTAATCAGCACAGTGAGCAAGCATAGAGCAAGAGTTCACAATAGGTAAGTAAGGCTAGAGCTAATCACAGAGGACAGGTGAGGAGGAGGAGAGATTGTGGGGATGAGAAGATGGGAGGCGACTGCTGACGCTGCAGACACACAGGCGAGCTGCTGGCTCAGTGGCTACCAGAACAGGGCTTCGGACTACTGGAGTAACTGGCCCCGCGGCTAAAAGTAGCGGCAGACGAGCAACGGACCCACGGGCGACTCGCGACTACCGGAGATTGTAGCCTCCGGACTGCTGCTGCTGCTGACGACAAGACTGCTGCCTCCACTCAACCTCCCCCAGCTGCCCAACGCCCCTCTCCCACACCCCCTGCTCAAACCCTAGCCCTGCACCCGCAGCACCCCCTTAAACCCTAAACCCCAGACTCCCACACAACCACCCCCCTCAGCGAGAGCTGCAGCAGTGGGAGACGAAGGAGGAGGAGGAGGAGGGGACGGCACGCACAACCGACACCCCCACAACTATCACCCCCACACTCACCCCCCACGGCTGCTGCAGGGGCGGCTGCTGCTAGTGCGGCTGCTCCAGTGGCTGTTGCTGCTGGGGCGGCTCCAGGGGCTGCTGCTGCTGGGGCGGCTGCTCCAGGGGCTGCTGCTGGGGCGGCTGCTCCTGGAGCTGCTGCTGCTGCTCCAGGGGCTGCTGCTGCTGGGGTGGCCGCCCCAGAGGCAGCTGCTGCTGGGGCGGCTGCTCCAGTGGCTGCGGCTGGGGCGGCTGCTCCCGGAGCTGCTACTGCTGGGGCGGCTCCAGGGGCTGCTGCTGGGGCGGCTGCTCCTGGAGCTGCTGCTGCTGCTCCTGGGGCTGCTGCTGCTGGGGTGGCTGCTGCAGTAGCAGTGGCTCCATGGGCTGCTGCTGCTGGGGTGGCCGCTCCAGAGGCAGCTGCTGCTGGGGCGGCTGCTCCAGTGGCTGCTGCTAGGGCGGCTGCTCCCGGGGCTGCTGCTGCTGGGGCGGCTCCAGGGGCTGCTGCTGGAGCGGCTGCTCCTGGAGCTGCTGCTGCTGCTCCAGGGGCTGCTGCTGCTGGGGTGGCTGCTGCAGTAGCAGCGGCTCCAGGGGCTGCTGCTGCTGGGGTGGCCGCTCCAGGGGCTGCAGCTGCTGGGGCTACTGCTCCAGGGGCTGCTGCTCCAGGGGCTGCTGCTGGGGCGGCTGCTCCTGGGGCTGCTGCAGCGGAAAGTAGGAGGTAGGGGAGGTGAAGGGCGCGGCCCCTATTGTGCCCTAAAGGGCGGCGTGCTAGGGAGCCGCGCAGGTCCCCGAAAGTGCCTCGACGGGCGACGAGAGGGGACCGCGAGCAGGCCCCTAAGGTGCCGCGATGAGGCAACGGGAGGGGCCGGCTCGCGGGCCCCGAAAGTGCCGCGACGAGGCGACAGGAGGGACCTGCGTGCGGGCCCCCAAAACGCCGCGACGAGGCGATGGTCGGGGCCAGCGCGCGGGCCCCCAAGACGCCGCGACGAGGTAGGTACCCGCCGCGCGCCTCGGGGCGCACGGCGGGCAGAAAACCGCCACGCGCCCCGAGCGCGTGGCGGGAAGAAAAATAGGTGGTCGCGCGCCACGGGGCGCACGACACACAATAGGGCAGCGGAATCGAGTGGGCCCACAGGCCAGGAGCGTTAAGCTCTAATACCATCTCAAAATGTTAAGCAAAGGTAGGCTTAGAAGCCATAGTTTAGGTGCCTAGGTAATCGAGTTCGAGGGTGAGGAGGAAAGTATTGAGAGGTTTTTGAAAGAGAAGTGATTTCACTAGCAAGAGTTGGGATACAAGTACAATACCCTAAATTGGGTTGTACTCATTACAGAGTACCCCACTGCAGGCTAGACAGCAAATATATTCTAACATGGTGTCCAACAGGCAGTCCCAACCGTACTCCGTGAAGTATTTGGCAAGGCATTTAACGGACTCAGCACCTCAGGAACCAACGGAAACACGCGCTCGGGGGGTGTGGGGTTATCAAATCCAACAACATCAGAGAGTGGGGGATTGGGGGAGAGGGGAGGTGTAGCCGAGAGTGGTGGATTGGGGGAGCGGGGAGGAGCGTCCGAGAGCAAAGCAGGGAGGGGAGGAGCAGAAGGGGGTGGGGCATGGAGGAGAGGAGCAGCAGAGAGTGGGGCGGGGATGGCAGGAGCAGAGAGCGGGGCGGGAAGGGCAGGAGCAGCTGGGATCGTGACAGGGAGGGGAGGAGCAGGGAGTGGGACGTGGAGGGGAGGAGCAGCAGGGAGCGAGGCAGGGAGGCCAGGAGCAGAGAGCGGGGCGGGAAGGGCAGGAGTAGCCGAGATCGTGACAGGGAGGGGAGGAGCAGGGAGTGGGGCGGGGAGGGGAGGAGCAGGGAGTGGGGCGGGGAGGGGAGGAGCAGGAAGCGGGGCCGGGAGGGGAGGAGCAGGGAGCGGGGCCGGGAGGGGAGGAGCAGGGAGCAGTGGGGCGGTGAGGGGGGGAGCAGAAGGGATCGGGGCAGGGAGGGGAGGAGCATCCGAGAGCACGGCAGGGAGGGGAAGAGCATTCGAGAGCGGGGCAGGGAGGGGAGGAGCATCCAAGAGCGGGGCAGGGAGGGGAGGAGCATCCGAGAGCGGGACAGGAGGGGAGGAGCAGCAGGGAGCGGGGCAGGGAGGGGAGGAGCAGCAGGGAGCGGGGCAGAGATGGGAGGTGCAGCAGGGAGCAGGGCAGGGAGGGGAGGTGCAGCAGCGAGCGGGGGGGGAAGGGGAGGAGTAGCAGGGAGTGGGGGGGAGAGGGGAGGAGCAGTGAGTGGGGCCGAGATGGGAGGAGCAGCAAGGAGTGGGGCGGTGAGGGGAGGAGCAGCCGAGAGCGGGGTAGGGAGGGGAGGAGCAGGGAGCAGGGCGGGAAGGGGAGGAGCAGCAGGGAGCGGTGGAGTGGCAGGTGAGATGGGATTTGACCACAACAATCCCACACCTGGTGATGCCTCGCAAAACAATGGTGACAATATGGTTCGTTTTAGACTGAGGCGGATGCAACACGTTCGTCAGCAAAGACAAGTGGCTCCCGAACCAAGAAATAGGGATCAGAGGCCAGCGGCTGTGGTGGAGGAAGGAACAGGGGCGGACTCAGAGGCAACGGGCCATACAAACCATACCCAAGTACCTGATACAGAAGAATCAACCGTTGTGGATAACCCAGCGGACCACAACGGGGAAATGCGGGATGAACAAAAGCGTATGAAGTTGGGGCAGAAGCGACGCCGCCAGTTGAGAAGGTTGCAGATGCAGCAACGACATCAGAGACGGAAACAGCTGCAGGGTGTGACTCAGCAGGGACACCAGCAGCAGCAGCAGCAGCAGCCGGGACAGCAGCAGCAGCAGCCGGGACAGCAGGAGCGACAGGGACAGCAGCAGCAGCAGGGACAGTAGGAGCGGCAGGGACAGCAGGAGCGGCAGGGACAGCAGCATAGGCATCAGCAGCAGGGACAGCAGGAGGGGCAGGGACAGCAGGAGCAGTATCAGCAGTAGGGACAGCAGGAGCGGCGGGGACAGCAGCAGCGGCAGGGACAGCAGCAGCAGCAGGGACAGCAGCAGCAGCAGCAGGGACAGCAGCAGCAGTAGCAGGGACAGCAGGAGTGCCAGGGACAGCAGCAGCAGCAGCAGCAGGGGCAGCAAATGATGCTGCTCCTGCAGCAATTGCTGCAGAATGCGCAGCAGGGAGGGCAGCAGCAGCAGGGAGAGCAACATGAGATTGGCCAACAACAAGAGCAGCATGGTGTTGGGCTAATTCTGGAGCAACTGCTGCAGGTTTTGCGACAACAAACCCAAGACCAAAACCACCATCAGTGGCCTTAATCTCAGCAGCAGCAATGACAGGAGCATCTGTAACAAAGTAAAAACAACAGAATGATTGCAGCAGCAATGACAGGAGTAGAAGACAGTGCAACGAATGCATCAGCAATAGCAGCAGCAACATGCAAGGTTGTGGCTGCATTCCTCTTCGCTGCAGCAACAATGGTGAACCTTGTGAAACTAGAACATGGTCTTGATTTATTGTTGACACATCACAACGTACGAAACAAAGCCTTGCCGACCACCTCCCACTCCCTTCAACCACTCACTGCTCTCGCTCCATGCTACGTTGGCAGATACGCCCTTGGGGGGTGGGCGTATTGCGTTTATACGCTAGCGTATGTACGCAACACGCTAATACACCTGGAAATCCTAAAATAAGCAGGGGCAGCCCGGTAATAAATAAAATAAAATTAAAAAAAAAAAAAAAAAACTCCATAAAAAATTGCAAGAATTTGCGACAGCGAGAATTGAACCCTCGAGCTCGCACAGAGCCCAACTCCTGTCTGCAATTCGAAATTCAAAATTCAACCCCTCCCACATCCCCAACCACACACCACCCCTCTCAACCTCCCAAACCCCACCTCCCCCTTTCACTAGTTCGAACATCTCAATCCCTAAACAGCTCCTCTTTCATTCAATCCCGCATTTCTCATCTTGCATTTCGTCCGACTCTCGTCGAGCTCAAACTCTCCTAGCTTTAGTACTTCCTCGCCATGGCGTCCCCTACTCCCTACAGTTCGAGGGTGAAATCTGCCTGGGAAAAAGTTTTTCCTGCCCGCCCAGCGTATTTTAGCATATCAGCAATATGCCAGCCATGGCGTATGTGTCAGAACATTATAGCTGATACATGTTTGTAGGCTATAGTGGGGTAGCACATATGGGGTACAGATTCCTAGGGTTTGTTATTTGTACCAATTTGTGACTTAGTCATTCATTCCTCTTCTCATTGTTTCACATGGTATAGAGCTAGGTCCCTCCAGGACCGATTTTTTTTTTGGCCCACCGAAGCGCGCCCCGAGGCGCGGTTTTTTTTTAGCGACCCCTCGAGTCGCCCTCTCCCCTGCGGCCTCGCCGCCCACTCTGTCGCGGCCCCGCCCTGACCCTTACGCGGCCCCGCCGCCTGCTCCTTACGCGGCCCCGCGCCGGCCCCTTACGCGGCCCTTACGCGGCCCCGCGCCGGCCCCTTACGCGGCCCTTACGCGGCCCCGCGCCGGCTCCTAAGCGGCCCCGCGCCGGCTCCTACGCGGCGTCCCCGGCTCCTACGCGGCCCTGTCCGCCGGCCCCTTACGCGGCCCCGCCGCCGGCCCCTTACGCGGCCCCGCGCCGGCCCCTTACGCGGCCCCGCCGCCGGCCCCTCACGCGGCCCCGCGCCGGCCTCCTACGCGGCCCTGCCCCGGCTCCTACGCGGCCCCGCCGCCGGCTCCTACTCGGCCCCGCGCCGGCTCTCACGCGGCCCCGTCCCGGCTCCTTCACGGCCCTGTCCGCCGGCTCCTTACGCGGCCCTGCCGCCGGCCTCTGCTCGGCCCTGCGCCGACCCCTACGCGGCCCTGCCGCCGGCTCCAACGCGGCCCTGCCCCGGCTCCTAAGCCGGCCCTACCGCCGGCCCTGCCGCCGACTCCTACGCGGCCCTACCGCCGGCCCCTTCGCGGCCCCGCCCCGGTTCTCTCACGCGACCCCGCCGCCTCACCTGCAGCAGTCGGGCGGCCGGGCAGCCGAGCCGCCCAGTCGCCAAGCCGCCCGGGAGCCGAGTCGCCCTGCACCCGAGCCGTCCGTCGCCGAGCCGCCCGGGAGCCGAGCCGCCCTGCACCCGAGCCGCCCTGCCGCCGAGCCGCCCGGGAGCTGAGCAGCTGTACACCCGAGCCGCCCGGTCGCCGCTCTGCTTTTCTGTCGAGCTGCACGGCCTGCCCTGCCTGGTGAGCACAGTCCCTCTGTCACTGCGCCCTCTTTCCCTACTGCTTGCACTGCTTTGCTGTCGTCATCATGGCCACCCCTAGTGTCCTAGCCTTTGACGCCGAGGGTCGCGCCATTGATTTTGAGGTCTGGCTAGATGACCTTCAGCTTTTCTTACAGTGCGACAGAGCTGACAGCCTTTCTCTCTTTGACCTCACCTCTGGCGCCTCTCCTGCTCCTGCTGCCGATGCTGATCCCACTGTCCGCTCTCAGTGGGCCACCCGCGATGCTGCTGCACGTCTTGCTGTGCGTCGCCACCTCCCTACCTCTGAGCGTGCGCATTTTAGTCAGTACAAGAGTGCTCAGACCTTGTACGACGCTGTAGTTGCGCGCTACTCCTCTCCTGCCACTGCTGCACTGAGCCGTCTCATGCTTCCCTACCTCTTTCCTGACCTCTCTGCCTTTCCCACTGTCGCTGACCTCATTACGCACCTCCGCACTAGTGACACTCGCTACCGCGCCGCCCTTCCTGCTGAGTTCTGCGCTAAGAACCCCCCCCCCCATGTACATCACTCTCTACTACGTAGTCGCGCGCCTCCCTGACTCCCTCCGCGTAGTCAGGGACCACTTTCTCGCAGTCTGTCCCACCACTCTCACCGTCGACCTCCTCGAGAAGGCCCTCCTCGCAGCGGAGAAGAGCATAGTCGCTGTTGGTGCCTCTCGTGGTGACCCTCGCACCCCCATCTTTGAGGGGTGCTCTCCTTCCCCCCTGCTGCCCTCTGTTGCCTCTGCTGCTGCGGCCGACCTGCTTGGTCTTGAGTCGGTCGGCGCGGCGTCTGCCCCTAGTGGGAGACGTCGCTCTGGCAAGGGCAAGGGGGGCAAGGGCGCGGGCGGAGCTGGAGGGGGCGGTGGCGGTGGCGGCGGGGGCGGCGGAGGGAGTGGGGGTGGCGGCGGGAGTAGTGGTAGTGGTGGTGGTGGTGGTGGCAGCAGCGGCGGAGACGGTGGTGGTGGTGGCACCGGTGGTGGTGGAGGCAGCAGCGGGAGTGGAGGCGGTGGAGGTGGAGGCGGTGGAGGTGGAGGCGGTGGAGGCGGCGGCGGAGGAGGCGGTGGTGGTGGAGGAGGTGGAGCTGGTCGTGGTGGTACCCAGCAGCGGAGCGGCGGTGGTGGTGGCCAGCGCTTGCAGCGGCAGCAGCAGCAGCGTTCGCGGGACATCCCTCCGCCTCAGCAGCTTCGTGAGTGGTACGCTGCGCGTCAGAGGGGTGGGGGTACTGGTCCCTGCGCCTACGTTCTTCGTTCCGGCGACCGCGCGGGTGAGCAGTGTGGGGGTGCCCACTCCACCCAGCGCTGCTTTGGCCGCCTGACGGACGCTTGGCGTCAGCAGTTCCCCGGGGCTAGTGAGATCCCTCGCTGGGATGAGCTCCTTAGGGCTGGTGTAGCGATCTTTGATCTTGATTTTGATGCTATCCTTTCTGCTATGTATGCTGTGACTTATAGTGAGGAGAATGAGGGTTACCGGTGTTTCCAGCCCGACCCGGGCATTGGTACTGCTGCACTAGGTACTTGTGAGGCTGCTGCTCTAGGTGCCAGTGCGTCTGCGCTCTCAGGTACTAGTGAGACTGCGCTCTCAGGTGCTGGTGAGACTGCGCTCTCAGGTACTGCGTCACCCTCGTCCTCCCTCACTTTCACACTTGACTCTGGGGCTTCGCGCTCCTTCTTTCGAGACCGCACTACTCTCACGCCACTTGGCCGACCGGTTGCGGTCTCCCTTGCTGACCCCTCTGGGGGTCCTGTCCTGTCTCACTTCTCCACTGTCCCCCCGTGTCCGGCTGCCCCTTCGGGCACCCTGTCTGGTCTGTACCTTCCCTCGTTCTCTACGAACTTGGTGAGTGGTGCGGACCTACAGGATGCGGGGGTTCACCAGTTCACTCCTGCGAGGCGGCGGGTGACCCACTGCACGGACGCAGACACAGGCCGACACCTGGCCACCTTTTCGCGTCGGCCGGGGTCGAGTCTCTACACCCTGACCACTTC